CGACTACTGGCCATTCTACAGACATTGATGTTAAAACACGTGGTGCGAAACAAATGAAAGAATTTGAAAAACATGTCTTATCATCGTTATAGATTAAAAGTTTTCACATAAAATATAAGGATAACATGCTTTAATAACAATAAATAATAAACGATTTATATGTTTTAATAATAATTAGGTTATTAAAAAAATATACGTAAAAATTATATTATAAGATGAATTAGAGATTAATAAAATTAATCTCTCTTCCATATTTTCGAGATTTATTCTTTACTTTATCATTGAGTAAAAGAATATGTATATGTCTAAAAAAGCTAAACATTTCTAAATTTATATATGTATGTATACTATTTATTTTTAGAAATTAGTACATTTTGAATTATTGCTATTTTGAAGTTTGTGTAAACTAAAAAAATTTAATATTTTGAAACATTATTGTTTACAAAATCGCTTATATAAATACATATATTCCAAAGTTACATATAAATTCAAAAAGAATTACAAAATGTAAATGATTATAGAATTGTTTATATTTCCATACAAACACAAAATCTCCTGAATTTTTTCACAAAAGCACAGCGTATTTTCCAGAAAAATTATGAAAAAAAATGAAATAAAAATATAATCTTCACAAAAATATACATCTAACATCATTAGTTAAAGAATAGTTTTTATGTAAATATAAATACAAATTTCATTCTAAAATCTCAATTTAAAATGGACTTTGAATAAGTTTTAGTAAAATAATGATCCGACTGCTTGCGTTGTTAAAGAATGGTTTCCTTACGATACAGCTTATCATTGCATTCCCCTTTTCAATCACTGGATTCGAATTCAATTGAATGTATCTAAGCTGTGATAAGCAAAATTATAAATACAAGTGCAAAAACCTTAAACAACGCACTTTAAAGTGTTAAAAAATGAAGTTATCCTCGATATTGCAAGAAACCTCATCCTCTTATTGCTTAATTGAAGAAGCAAGACAGTATTAGTCAAGCATTTCTTGTGACAAACTTTGACATACCTGTGATCTCTGTATGTATATTTGTTTTTGTATTTTGTGTTATCAATATTTTTCTTAAACAGAGTTAACATATGTATTATGTTTTTACATATATTTCTTATTTTAATCAATGATTTAATGTTGAAATTATCAAAATTCTTGCATTTATGTTATAGAATTCTGCAATAGAAATATTCGGACTTTTGAGTGATTATATGTAAATAATGTATGATTTATTATTACATATAAATTTTAAATAGATTTTAAACATAAAGCGTAAAAATGTTTTAAATAAAACAAATTCTAAAGCAATCTGTACTAATCACTCAAAAATAATAGTAGTTTTTTCAATTAAAAAAAATAATTGTTTTTTCATGAAAGTATAAAGTATACAACACTTATACTTTATCTCAATATGTTTGAACAGGTAATCTCATAGTCTTCAACTTTACTTAATGATACTTTGGAAGACATAATATGTACAAACATATCAATATGCATTATCAAGTGATATATGTAGATTGTATATGAAAGATATGAAAGAGCACAGGAACAATGAGAGCAGCGTTCTTCGCTCCAAAGCAAGACATAATTAAAGTGACTACAAGAATAAGCAGGGAAGTGTCAATTAACTTCGAAACGTCAGTTAATCAGTGAACTTCGAACTGAACGATCCAAGTAAACAGAAATCGACCGATTTCAACAGGGCTCGACCTACGTATCATTACGCAATTATCGTGGAGGTTCCTTCTCGATAAGGGGAAAGCGCGAAGAAAGCGAGACAAGAAATGTATGCGTCATCATCCGCAAATAAAGATTTTCACGTGACCATCCATATGATGGTTATTCTTTCCCTTGCCCTCTTCGTTACCCCGGTGGCGGATTCTGCGAGAAGCTGCTCCAACGGATACGTACCTTATCGGACGATCGCCACCCTGCGGGTCGGCACACGGTTATTGACGGAATGATGGAAGTTTTCGGTGACCGGATCGCAAAAATCAGTCAGACCGATCGTCGGGCGTGGACCGGCGAGTCGCCGTTGTCCACCGTCGTTATCGTAATCGTCGTCGTCGCAGCCACCTGGTTGTCGAGCTCTCGAGCAAAATGTAGTTTGTACAGGGTGTCTATAACGAACATCCGTTCGCTCGTGATAGCGTAAAAGGTCTTTACGCGTTACGTGTGAGCATCGCAACCGTCGTCTACCTTGAATCCCAAGCTTATGATTATATAGCTACTGCAATTTTGCTTCAAGATTGAGGAGGAAAGCTTGGAATGCGACACTCGCACGAAAAATAGTACACGCCACCAACCACCCACAGCTCTGCCCTAGCTCCACAGTTCCACACGGCTACATACCTCCACTCCAGTCTGCTCCAGTCCACCACTTACCGCTCACGGCGCTCACACTCTAGAAAAAATGGGCGTGTTGAAGTCGGCAAAGCGGTTACCTGCTCGCCAAACAAATGAATACGATTGGGTTGTTAAACGGGGAGCACAGACTCTTGCATAATGCATAACACATAAGACATAAGAAATTTAACCAATCAGAGTTCTTTATTTCATGGAAAGGAAAGAAACGAAGGACTTTGATTGATTCATTTCCTTATGCATTACGTGTTATGCGTTATGCTAGAGTCTGTGTTCCCCGCTTTACTTAGGGTGACTTACTGCGTTCACACCTTGACGGAAAGCAGAAAACGGAAAAGCAGTGGCCAATCACAACTCGCGTTGGTAGTAATACAAAAAGCCGAAATTGTCGACTACCAGCGCGAATTCTGATTGGCTGCTGCTTTTCCGCTTTTTGCTTTTCCATCAAGGTGTGAACGCGCCTTTATAAGCCTAACCAATGGGCGCGTTCAAGCCGGACAAAGCGGGTAGCCTGCTTGCCGAGTGATCGAATGTGATTGGTTAGATCTATAAGTAATAACCAATCGTATTCATTTGCTTGCAGGCCAGCCGCTTTGCCGACTTGCGCTCATTCATATTTAAGGTGCGGTCGAGTTGCCACTACGAATACTACGAAGCATTTTTTTTATTGGCCAATGAGTGAAATTCTTTCTTCTGATTGGTTAATCAAATGCTTCGAAGCATTCGTAGCGGCAACTCGACCGCACCCTTAATCGCTCGACGAGCAGGCAAGTCTAGGTTGGAATTAGTCCGTTTTTAGGCCGGGATTCATAATCGGTTCTTATTTCAAAACCATCTTAAGTAATGTCTTAATACGCTAACACGGTTCTCTGATTGGTTCATGACAGCTCAAGACTGAAATTAAGACGATCTTGAATATAAGAACTGACTATGAATACTGGCCTTAATCTCAAGCAAGGTCTTAAGATGCTAATACGGCTCTCTGATTGGTTCATGCACCAGCTTAAGACCATTTCGAATCTAGCAACGTCTATGGCCGGAATCAGACTACGCATTGAAGATTAAGATTGAAGATTGAAAAATTCAAATTTGACCAATCGAAACGAAAGAAGCTAAAATTTCTCTGTCCTTATTGGTCAAATTTCAATCTTCAATCTTCAACCTCATCTTCAATGCGTAGTCCGATTCCGGCCTATGGATTCCGCCCCTAGAGAACATAAAAGTAGAGATCGGCCAATGCCGACTCGATCCGTGATTGGCTGGCTCTGTCATGTTGTTGTGAAACCGGATGTGAGTGTTAGACTGCGTCCCCATGGAGAAAGAAACAGCGGAACGGAATCAGAACGGAATATTAACAGAAAAGAGATAGGCTGAGGATATCTCTTTTCTATCAGCCTGAGAGAAACGAATATGAGAGTAAAAGTAAATTTTCACAAACTGCTTAAACAGGCTGTTTCAGTGACAAAAAAAACGTGATCACAATTGACGAATATCAAGCATCCATTTTGATCATATGATTCTTTTCGTCACTGAAACAGCCGGTTTGAACAGCTCGTAAAAATTTACCTTAATGGCGCGGTCCCATGGTGCGGAACGTATACGCAATGCGGAATTGGCGGAACGATGTCCGTCCAATCGCAAGCATTCCATCAATTACGCTTCGTCAATAGCTGCGTTCAGCAGACTCAACAGTTTTGCAACCGTTTTATGATTGTCTGCTGAGATAGGACCATTCTTCTAGATCTAAAAGTATGATCCAATCAGCTCGAAAGAAACTTCCAACAGTTGCAAAACGAACGTTCTGCTGAACGCAGCCAT